GGGGTGGGGTGGGGCAGGATGCTGGATGGCCAGCTATTCTCCGAGGGGCCCGATAGCCCCCGGGAGCTCCAGGATGAGGAGTCTGGCAGCTGCCTCTGGGTGCAGAAATCAAAGCTGCTGGTGATAGAAGTGAAGACTATTTCCTGTCATTATAGTCGCCGTGCCCCTCCTCGACAGCTCATGGACTTCCAGGCCAGCCACTGGGCCCGCGGGCCCCAGAGCCGCACGTGAGTGAAGGAGGGGTAAGGGGAAGAGAGTGGTGGGTCAGGGATTGGGGCCCGGACCTTCCCGTGGGCACCAGCCAGGGCTGCTGTTCCCCCTTCTCTTTCCCACGCCTCCCCCCACCCCATCCCGAGGGCTGGGGCTTGACTCATCCCGTTTGTTTGGGGGGACAGGAGTGGGCGTGAGAAAGGGCAGGTGAGATGGGGCAGACGCTATTAAAGTGTGTATGGAGAGATGGTGAGGAGTCTCGCTTCGACTTCAACCCTAACATATACGCACGTGCACACGCGCGCACACTCACACACTCCCCTCCACAAGGCGGCCCCAAGTGGGCTGCAGCGCTCCCAGCTCCCCGGACCTCGGCTCCCTTCCCCCACAAACTGCTCACCTGGGTTCCTGCTCATTGTCCCAGGTGTGGGCCGCGCCTGGGATCCCCTGAGCCGCCGCCCCGCCGGCCCTGGGCCTCCAGGGTGCTGCAGGAGGCGACCAACTGGCGGGCGGGGCCCCCGGCCGAGGCCCGAGCCCGGGAGCAAGAGAAAAGGAAAGCGGCATCGCAGGAGCGGGAGGCCAAGGAGACTGAGCGAAAAAGGCGCAAGGCTGGTGGGGCCCGAAGGAGTCCCCCCGGTCGGCCCCGCCCGGAGCCTCGGAACGCCCCTCGGGTGGCCCAGCCTGCAGGGCTCCCAGCTCCCTCACGGCCGGAGCGCCTGGGGTCCGTGGGGCGACCGCCCCGTCCATCCGCGCTGCCGCAGAGCAATCCAGGGGCGGCGTGGGCGGGGCCCTGGGGAGGTCGGCGGCCAGGGCCCCCCAGCTACGAAGCTCACCTGCTGCTGAGAGGTGCTGCCGGAATGGCCCCGCGACGCCGCTGGGACCGGCCGCCACCCTACGTGGCTCCACCCTCTTACGAAGGCCCCCACAGGACCCTGGGGACTAAGCGAGGACCCGAGCCCTCGCAGGCGCCCGCCTCTTCAACCTCTGCTCCGACCAGGACAGAGGGAGGGTGCACAAAGAAGAGGCTAGATCCTCGGATCTACCGGGACGTCCTAGGGGCCTGGGGTCTCCGTCAGGGCCGGGGTCTCCTGGGGGGATCCCCAGGCTGTGGAACAGCCAGGCCAAGGCTGGAGTCCGGTAAGGTGGCCGCGGAGAGAAGCCTGAGGCTGGCTGCTGCTGGCCTGAAGAGTGGTAGCGACGGACATCCCCAAGCCAAAGCTGCTGGGAACCCAGGCACGGAGACAGTTCCTGCGGGGTCTGCACCTGCCACTCCCAGCCCCCCGCGTCCTGCTCCCAGGTCCAGGCCCCATCCCAAGGGCTCCGGGGAAGGGAGAGAAGGGAGAGAACAGAGCTGGCTCCCCAAGTGCTGGATGCCCTCCGTTAAGAAGCAGCCGCCCCGACATAGCCAGACCCTCCCCAGACCCTGGGCTCCGGGAGGCACGGGATGGAGGGAGTCCCTGGGTCACAGAGAGGAGGCCGGACCCGAGACCTTGGAGGGTTGGAAGGCGACCCGCCGCCCCCACACCCTGCCCCGAAGTTCCCGTGGCCCGGCTCGTGGGGAAGGCGTCTTTGTCATTGACGCCACTTGCGTGGTGATACGGTCCCAGTATGTTCCGACCCCTCGAACCCAGCATGTGCAGCGTTTGCCCGCTGGAGTGCCGCGACTTGTGGGGAATGTCCCCACCCAACTGAAGCCCAGCAAGGAGGAGGCAGAGGGGGCCGCGGTCCTTCCCTCCCCTTGCCGAAAGCTGCTGTTGAGCAGTCGCCCTTCACAGCAGCCCGGTGGGGGACGTGGGCTCGAAGCTGAGGGCGGGAAGTCCGCGGACTCCTCACTGGAGGAGCGCGCCTCCCGCATCTTGGGGCTCCCGGTCGGCGAAGTAAACCTGCAGGATGCCCCCACGCAGCCAGGTAGTCCAGAGCACTCAGCCTTAGGCCCAGCGGCTTCGGGAGGCGCGCGCCGTGCCGAGGGCTCGGAGGAAGTGGCTGCGGTCCCGCGGCGCGCAGGCCGGGGTTGGGTGCGGACCCCGGGGCCCTATGCCGGGGCCCTGCGGGAAGCCGTGTCCCGCATCCGCCGCCACACCGCCCCGGACTCCGACTCCGACGAAGCTGCGGAGCTCAGCGTCCATAGCAGCTCTTCTGATGGAAGCGACACAGAAGCCTCGGGCGCCTCCTGGCGGGACGGGCGGGCCGGGCCCCCGGAAGGCGGGAAGGCAGCCGAGCTGAGCGACAATATCCGAGAGATTCTAGATGTCCTCAGCCGAACCCGGAGAGAAGCCTGAGGCTGGCTGCTGCTGGCCTGAAGAGTGGTAGCGACGGACATCCCCAAGCCAAAGCTGCTGGGAACCCAGGCACGGAGACAGTTCCTGCGGGGTCTGCACCTGCCACTCCCAGCCCCCCGCGTCCTGCTCCCAGGTCCAGGCCCCATCCCAAGGGCTCCGGGGAAGGGAGAGAAGGGAGAGAACAGAGCTGGCTCCCCAAGTGCTGGATGCCCTCCGTTAAGAAGCAGCCGCCCCGACATAGCCAGACCCTCCCCAGACCCTGGGCTCCGGGAGGCACGGGATGGAGGGAGTCCCTGGGTCACAGAGAGGAGGCCGGACCCGAGACCTTGGAGGGTTGGAAGGCGACCCGCCGCCCCCACACCCTGCCCCGAAGTTCCCGTGGCCCGGCTCGTGGGGAAGGCGTCTTTGTCATTGACGCCACTTGCGTGGTGATACGGTCCCAGTATGTTCCGACCCCTCGAACCCAGCATGTGCAGCGTTTGCCCGCTGGAGTGCCGCGACTTGTGGGGAATGTCCCCACCCAACTGAAGCCCAGCAAGGAGGAGGCAGAGGGGGCCGCGGTCCTTCCCTCCCCTTGCCGAAAGCTGCTGTTGAGCAGTCGCCCTTCACAGCAGCCCGGTGGGGGACGTGGGCTCGAAGCTGAGGGCGGGAAGTCCGCGGACTCCTCACTGGAGGAGCGCGCCTCCCGCATCTTGGGGCTCCCGGTCGGCGAAGTAAACCTGCAGGATGCCCCCACGCAGCCAGGTAGTCCAGAGCACTCAGCCTTAGGCCCAGCGGCTTCGGGAGGCGCGCGCCGTGCCGAGGGCTCGGAGGAAGTGGCTGCGGTCCCGCGGCGCGCAGGCCGGGGTTGGGTGCGGACCCCGGGGCCCTATGCCGGGGCCCTGCGGGAAGCCGTGTCCCGCATCCGCCGCCACACCGCCCCGGACTCCGACTCCGACGAAGCTGCGGAGCTCAGCGTCCATAGCAGCTCTTCTGATGGAAGCGACACAGAAGCCTCGGGCGCCTCCTGGCGGGACGGGCGGGCCGGGCCCCCGGAAGGCGGGAAGGCAGCCGAGCTGAGCGACAATATCCGAGAGATTCTAGATGTCCTCAGCCGAACCGAGGAGGTCCTCTTCGGGGGCGAGGGACACTAAGGGGACCCCACAGGGAAATAGGGAGCGACAGTGAGAGGCCCTTTATTGTATTTGTGTCCCCTTTCCTCCTCACAGACTTCCTTGTACCTCTTACCTATACCCGTTCCCATACGCGAAATAGAAGGTGCACAGATGAAAGGAAAGGGAGCATATGTCAATTCATGATTTTTTTTTTTTTTCAGGAGAGATGAGGGTGCGCAGTAGACTTTTAACGTTTGGTAAGGTCTTCAGGGCACTCGGGTAAGGTCTCAGAAGGGGCCGATGCACTAGGCATGGAACTGAGCAGAGAGGCCTAGGCAGGATAAGGCAGGAGGACAGGGATGGGATAGTCATAGGGCAACTTCAGGGCAGGGCCTCTGGGCAGGAGGGGGAAGGTGATGGAGAGGCTTCGGACTGAGGTGACCAGGTGACCGAGAGGCCCTTGGCAGAAGAGGAGGGGTTCTTGGCAGAAGCCACCAGCAAAGCAGGAAGAGGACTCACTTTGGTGTCACAGGTTTTGGCTTCCAATCCCAACTCTGACACTGGTTTGCTGGGTGACCTTAGGCAAGTCACCTCCCCTCTCCAGGCCCTGTAATATGAAAAACAAGGGAGTTCTAACGTCCATCCCGGATGTTTTGGAGTCCTTGGGGAGGCATTTATCTACCCCTCCCCTGCACAAGCCAAGACAGTTAGGAATAAGTGAACAGAGTCTGAGCGTCCCTGGGTGGCTTCTTTGACACCTGCATTCACTCTCAATTCAAGAGACTGTGCAGTGTTTGCAAAAGAGCCGAGTAAGTGGGCAAGGGCTCCTATTCCAGTCTCAGGTTTAGGCGTAGGATCCCCAAGGCAGTGCAGGGTGGTGGCCTTGTCACTGTCCCTGGTTTGTGGTGGTCTGAGCTGAGCAGCTTGGGACTTTTTTAGGCCTTCCCCTTTTCCTCCTCCCCGGTGTTCCTTAGTGATGCTCTGAATAGTTATCACGATTTCCCACTCAGGTGGTATCACCCATCTGAAAGAACCCTGAGAATGTCTTGCATGTCTGCCTCTTCCAGAAACCAGCCAGGAAAGGAAGAGGGAGGCTGGTCCCCAAAAGCCTGTAGGTGTGGGGTGTGATACTCGCTGTAGCCACTACGGGGCGCGCGCAGGTCGCGGATTTCCCTGGTAGCTAGTCCGCGAGTCCCTCCAACCCCGGCACTGCCAGTTAATCAATCGCTCCCAAGTTACTGCGCGCGTGTCCCCCGCCTTGCTGTCTCCAGTCTTGCGAGATCGGGAGCAGGCCTCTGGCCTTGCAGACCTCTGGAGCGCGCGGAGCCCCTCTTTGTACTAATATCCGCACCAAACGGCTTGGGACCCAGACATTGAAGTATTTTTTTTTTCTTCGATCTGGGGCACCTCTTCTGTCTCTATTTACTAGCCATGTGAACTTGGCCAAATCACTTCACCTCCCTGAGCCTCAGTTTCCTCATCCGTCAAATGGGGGTTTATAAGCACCTACCTCGCAGGGTTGTTGTGAGGACTTAATGCGATAATGTATGTAAAGCGCCTTGCACAGTGCCTGGTACACAGTAGGCGCTCAATAAATCTAATCTTCCCTTTGTCCAGCCTTGGCATCTTCTTCCTTTCACCGACCCATTCCCCATAGTGTCCCTTCCCCAGGGCTCCTGCGCTCCTTCCCGCCTGGTGGGTGGTGGAGGAGACTCCTTTATTGGATGGAAACTCCCTGCTCACCCCTGTCTCCCCCAGGCCGGACTCTCTGTTCCTTGCCCCCCACCCCACCCCCGCTGGCTCTTCCCATTGCCCCGATGCCCTCCCCCCACCCCCCATTCCGGGCAAGGGCTGAGTCAGCCTGGGTAAATTTAGCCGCCGACTCGGCAGGCGCGGGGGCTTCGCTCAGACTCAGTCTCCGAGTCCTGGCCCGGCCCTCGGCCCCGCCTCTGCCCCCCACCCCCACGGAGTCCTGCCAACTCCAACTCAGGCTCAGGGTTCAGATCCCCAGCCCCGCTCTCAAACCGCGTATAGTTTTGGTCTCCAATTATCTCAGTGTCACTCCCCACCTGCACCAGGAGAGGCTGGGCAGGAGGGGGAGGGGGCAGGGTAGGGAGGCCGCTGGACTGGACCCTAAGCGGGGCCTTGGTTCAGTGGAATGGGGCCGGGGGTGGGTGTCCTCTTTGGGCTTTGAACCTAAATGGAGAAACTTGGTCAGTCACCCAGGAAGGTCCTTCCATCCCAGAAGCTGCCTGGAACCCACACTGCCAGGTTTCAAGTTAGCTCTTACTGGAGGAAGTAAAGTAATTGGGGTTCACCTTGGGCAGAGATCAAAGGTTCCCGAGTTCTGTCTCCCTTCCACCTACAATTCTAACTTCTACCGATTATAACTACTGAGCATTTACTGAGCACCTGAGGGGAACCAGGCACTAAGCTGGGCTCCAGGAAAGAGATGAGTAAGACCTGCCTGACAATGGGGTGAAGAGGAAAACACACAAATAATGATAGATTGAGCAGTGGGTGTTAAGTACTCTAAGGAATCAAACAAGGCAGATTGTATGGATTTTATGAGATCAGGAAAGCCTCCATGAAGGAGGTGGCATCTGAGATAGAATTCAGGAAAAGGGGTTCCAAGTAGAGGGGAGAGCAAAAATAGAGGCAGGGATATAGGGAAACAGGGTATGTTTAGGAAATTATCAAATGGTCTGGTTTGACCGGAGTTGAGGATACATTCAGAGGAGTTGTGGAAGATAAAGGCAGGAGTGAAAACTGAGGCCAGGCTGGGGTGAGCCTGCTCCAGCTGAGGGGTGTGTGCCTTCGACCTCTGGGCCTGAGAAGAGGATGGACTTCAGGCTAGGAGGAAGACTGAGGAAGACCAGGGCAGTGGTGAGAGCATCTGCCTGGACTTTGCTGTAGCCCAGGGGCTCCAGGGATCTGGGGCTGGCAGGAGAGGTGAGCTGCATGGGAAAGTGGAGGGGCTGGCCTTGTGGAGGTGGGCTCCACTATGCTGCCTGGGCCTCTTTGAGGCTGAGCACACAGGAGGCCAGTTTCTAAGAGCTTACCCACACTGCTATCATTGTTAGAGAACTATGGTGGTGTTGTGTTCAGAACACGGACTCTGGGACCTGGCAGCCTGGGTTTAAATCTTGTACCTACCTCATACTAGCTGTGTGACCTTGGGCAATTACTCAACCTCTCTGTGCCTTGGTATCCTCAGTTATAAAATGAGGTTATTAATAGTGCTTTTTCATAGGCTTGTCGGGAGGAGGAAATGATTCAATATGTAAAGCACTTAGAACAATGCCCGGTACATAGTAAGTGATATATAAGTGTTAAGCAATTATTATTATTTCTCTCTAGGGCTATGTCATTAGTGTTGGGGTATAGGGCCAGGAGATGGGAAGAGAGAAGTAGAGGTAAGGGAAGAGGAGGAACAGGCAGCAGAGGCGGAGAGGAGAGGGGATCCCTGGGGTGGAGACAAGCAGCCCCTTGAACAGGTGAATGGTGTACTGGGAGCATTTGGGTGGTTAAGATGCCAGTGCACTAGCCGCCCCCACCCCCACCAAGACTCCATTTATCTTTGCCTAAGGGTGGAATCAGCACCAGCTGCTAAAGATCTGGGGAGAAAGGCAGAGAGAGGAGAAGAGGAGGAGCTAGTGCAGGTCTCGGGCCAGCCCTTGGTGAGCCATATCTCAGACTGGCCCTGCAGGGCCCTGTGGGTGGAAGGCTGGAGACTCCCTGCTGTGAAAATGACTTCTAAATCTGGCTGTGTCTGCCAGCCAGCCAGCCTCAAGACAGAGGCCACAACTAGCTCTCTCCTCCCACCCCCACCTTGGGACAGCCTCACAGGTCAGGAGTAGGGGCGGCAAAGCTGGAGGGTGTGGTCAGGTGGGG